TTTATAATAGTCCTGAAATCAGAGAGTCCTTCCACTTGGTCTTTTTCAAAGCTGTTTGGGTGAATCTGGATCCTTTGTATTTCCCTCTGAAGCTTACAATCAGCTTGTCAGTTTCTAAAACAAAACAAAAAAAAACAGATGATATTGATCAGGATTGCACTGAACCTGTAGATTAATTTGGGGACAACTGACACAGTAACAATCCCAAGTCTTCTGGTTCATGCAGGTGGGGTATCTTTCTGTTAGAATTTCATCAGTAGTGTTCTACAGATTTCATTCAACTGTCTTATACCCTTTCTGTCATGGTGATTCCTATGTATTTCATAGTTCCTGGTGCTATTATAAATATTATTCTTTTAAATTTGGGGTTCTGATTGTTCATGGCTGATCTATAGACACACAATTGATTTTGATGTATTGATCTTGTATCCCGCATCCTGGCTGTTATGGGCTGAATTACGTACCCTCAAAATTTACATGTTGACCTTCTAATTCCCAGTACCTCAGAATGTCACTGTATTTGGAGATAGGGTCTTTAAAGAGGTAATTTAGTTAAAATTGAGTGGGCCCTAATCCAATATGACTGATGTCCTCATCAGAAGGGGAGAGTGGGACACGGACACACACAGGGCAGACCGTGGGGAGAAGATGGACAAATAGGGAGGCCTCAGAAGAAGCCAGGCCTGCCACCACCCTGATCTCAGACTTCTTGACTCCAGAACTGTGAGCAAATAGGTTTCTTTGTTTATGCCACTGGGGCTCTGGTACTTTGTTACCACAGCCCTAGCAAATTAATACACACGTGCTAACCTCACTTAGAGCTTTGTTGTGGGCTCCATTGGATTTTCTGCATAGACAATCATATCAACTGTAAATAGAGCTTCGCTTCTTTCTTTCTAATCTGGAAGCCTTTTATTTCTGTTTCTCATCTAACTGCTCTGACAAGGACTCCCAGTACCACATTGAATAGGAGTGGCAAGAGCAGACCTCCTTACCTGCTCCTCATCCTATGGGGCCAGCGTTCAGCCCTTCACCACTAAGTATGATGTTAGCTGTAGGTTTTTTCATAGATACCCTTTGTCGAATTGAGGAAATTCCCTTTCCGATTCTTAGTTTCATAGCTATGATTTTTAAAATTCCATTTCAAAAGTGGGAAGATGGAAACCCCAAATAGCCGGTCAAACTTTCCCTACCGTTTCCTACGGTTGTAGATATCTAGTGTAGAATATGGAGAAATTGTCACAAGCACAGATGCTAGATCCATACTGCACAGGTGTGCCTTACTTTGTTCTTCTGTAAAATGGGGATAATCATAGTATCTAGCTCATAGGATTGTTCTGAAGATTACAGTGTGAACAGTGCCTGACTACTAAGAAGTGTTATGTAATTTTTTTTCTCCCCTATGTTCATTTAAAATCATGGAAGACAACCAGATTCTGCTTCAGGAGGCAAGCCAACCATGCTGACTTCCAGATATGGGTTTTGCTCCATCTTTTCCCCAATCCATCATGCTCTTGGTAGCGCAGTTAGAATTTTAGACTGGAACAATTGTCATCTGCCTCCACCTCTGGCCCAAAGCAGGAATTCCTTCTGCAGGCCGCCCCTGACCAGCTGCTGGCTCCCTTCTGAGCAAAAATTCTTTAGGCTAATTGCACATCCTGGAATCCCGAATTTCTCAGTTCTGGGAAAGTCTAGCCATTAGGTGACAGTGAGATTTCCCAGGGACTAGGAAGCCAAATTTCCATGCTCACTGTATGCATTACTAGGTTCTCCAGTCGCTTCCACCATGACACCTGACAGAATGGGTCTCCTGGGAACTGGCAGCTCCTCTTCCTTGCCACTAGGGAACCGAATTAGGGTCAAGGGTAGGCCTGGCATCTCTGCTTTAGCAACTGCCCAGATCCTGAGTCAACACCTGAATAAAGTCTAGGCTCCTTTTATTTAGCCCCATTGTGGGTGGGAGAGTAACTAGGCTCAATCCTTTCATGGCATATTTGGAAAAAAATTTGAAAGGACTCAAAGTCTGATTCCCAGAAATTCTTAGCTAAAAGAGCTCTTGGTTTCAGATTTGACACCAGTCTTTCCCTGATTTAGCAGCAGGGTGTTTTGCTCACTGGAACAGTATTGTTCCATAAACAAGCAAGAGATGCATCTGCTACAAACAAAGTCAAAATTTCCATCTAAATTTTAGCTAATAGAAATATAAGGACCGATTCAGGCTCTAGATTTTTAAATCTCCTGAGCCTGGCAGCTGTGTTTTCACTCTTTCTACTAAACGCTGCAGTTTAGGATTTAGGGAATTATGAAAAACACACTGGTGGCACCAGAGCTCACATGGGGCAGGCTCCCCTGCCCCAGAGTATTGACTGATGCACCTACCCCCCCTTTTTTTTGCTGATGGTGGGGGGGAAAGGCTCTCGAAATGATCCAGCTACAAGAGACTGAGCAAAGGGTCTCAGGCTTTCTTAGTTTCAGGAGGATCCTTTTCCTTAAAATAACTGAGCATTAAGTGCAAAACTATGCCAATGTCACATTTGCTGTGCCCATTTAGTAACATAAGCGTGCAAGGCCCGGACATATTTATACAACTAGCAATTGCTCTGCAAAACCATCAACAGCTCACAGCCCAACAGTCTTCCAAAATACTATGCGATGCATTTAAAATCTGCAACTTTGCAAGGAGGCACCCACAAAATACCTTCTTTGAATTTGCATATTTGTGTACGAGAACACACACCACACCGTTGATATAGGATTTGAGCTAGTCTTAAATGCTAAAAAGGTCCCCACGATTTGCTTTGCTTAAATGCACACTCAAAACTTTATTAAAAACATTTTTCAAAAATAAGCAAGACATCAGCAAGGCTCGGTGGAGGGGTGGAAAATGGATCGTATATCTTTAACCCGCAGAAGCTAAAAGGCTTTTTTTGTTGTTGTTGTTAGCTAACAATGGAAACTTTTTTTTTTTAAGTGTTTCCCTCCCTCGGTCTTGCCAAGCAATAGAAAAAAAAAAAAAAAAGAAGAAAAGAAAAACTTGTTCCGCTGAGTTCAACCCCAGACGGGCTCACAACTTCCTTCCTGCTTTCCTCCCCCAAGCCCCCGCCTTTCTCCCTCCTCCCTCCTCCCCCCCCCCCCCTTTTTTTTTTTTTTTTTTTTAATCGCACATTGAACAAACACTGAAGTAGCCGGAGCAGACGCTGACAGGAGTAGTGTCTGCACGGCCCAGAAGGGCGTGCGGGGCGGGTCCGGCGGAGCCTCCGCGCGATCGCCGGCCCCAGCCCGGGAGCTCTCCCCCAGCGTTCGCGCTCCCCTTTTTTGTCTTCCATAGCTCGCTCGGGAGGTTGATCCTGAGCTTTTTCACTTTTCAAGCCATCTTGTTCTACGAGGTCTGCGTCCCTGGGCCGTACAGTCTGCACGGGCCCGGGCAGCTGAGAAATTGCAGGTAAGTTTGGCGGCTTTTTCACGGCTCTCGCCTCCGAGCCCTCTCTCCCCTCCCCTGCCCCGGAGCCAACTTGGGCGTTCCGGGTTCTGGAAAGGCGCAGAGGTGGGCGGCGGGGACGCGGAAGGGGTGTGAGCCGGGAGGGCGGCGGGAGCCGGGGCGCGGGGAGGGGAGGAGGGACGGGTTCGGGGTGTCCCTCCGACTCGCCTTCCGGGACGCCGGCCCCCGCCGCCTTCCCCGCGCGCTCCGGACGTCCACGGCTCGGGCGGCCGGGCTGCTGGGCTGGCGCCGGGTGAGGCTGCCCAGGATGCGGACGAGCCCGGCCCTCGGCTGCGCCTCCCGGCGTTCGGAGCGAGGGCCCGGGCGGGGTGCGGAGCCGGGCTGCAGGCGCGCGGGCCCCGGGGTGCCTCTGAGTGGGCGCGGGTCCCGGTGCCGCAGAGGCAGCCGCGTCCTTGGGTGCAGGGCGTGCGGAGGGCTGACTCCCCGTGCGCGCGCGTACACACACACACACACACACACACACACACACACACACGCCTCCGCGGGGGGCGACGACAGGGAGCGGCGAATATTGGTTCCGGTACAGGGGACGTGCAGCGCCTCGGCCCCGGGCGCGCGCAGGCGCGCCCACACTCACAAAACACACTTGTTCGGGGACAGGCGACAAGGCCAGTGCTGAAAAATGCCTCGGCTGCGGCCCCACCGCGCGCCCGGGCCTCCGTAGGCCGAGGGACCCAGCCCCGAGCCCGGGGTCGGCGAGGTAAACGGCCGGCGCGCAGGCGTCTTCCCGCTGCCGGGCGCAGGTAGCGGCTGGGTAAGCAGGTCCCGCTCAGGTTCCCTCCAAGTGGGTCCCTGAGGCCGGAGAGGGTGGTGGCAGCAGAAGCCGCGGCCCAGGGGCGGGCTTTCCTCCCTCCCTCCCGCTTAAAGCAGGGTTTGCTCGGCCCGAGGAGACCCGCAGACGGTGGATGGGGTGTCCGCACCCTCGGAGAAATGCGAGCCAGCCGCGCCCGCACGCAGCACACTTAGGAACCAAGTAGGCATACGCAGGCCCCTGCCTGCCCGCGTGGCTCTGGGGAGGAATTTTAGAATTGGACTTTGCAGGGACCTCCAAGCGCACATCACACCCTGGGGTGAGGGGTGGGAGCGCACTCGGGAAGCTCACACCCGCAGCCGGGCTCTGTCCGCGCGGAGCCGCGCCCTCCCGGTGGCTGAGACCTCCAATGGCACCGGACCCCCGACAGACGGGGCTTCCGCGGGACGGCCGCCCCCGCTCACCCCCGCCCGGTGTCCCCTTCCCGTCGCCCCCCTCCCCCGCCCTCTGGGGTCCTGACTTTCCTCCTTGTGTCTCCACAGCGGAGCTGTCGTTTATGGAGCTTTGGGCGGGGGCTGAGCCCTCGGTGTTGGCCCCCCGCCCGCAGCCCAGGCCATGCCACCGCCTCGGCGCGCCCAGCCGCGGCCGCCGGGCCTCCGGGGCTGAGCCGGGAGCCGCGCGAGGAGGAGGCGCCGGCGGCGGAGCCCGCTCGGGAGCCGCGGCGGCGGGCAGCGCGGCGGACCCAGTACTATGGCTGTGTACTGCTATGCACTCAACAGCCTGGTGATCATGAATAGCGCCGAGCAGGTGAAGAGCGGTGGCCCACGGCCTAGCAGCAGCGAGACGCCCCCGCCGCCGGGCAGGGCAGTGCTGAGCCCCGGCAGCGTTTTCAGCCCCGGGAGAGGCGCCTCTTTCCTCTTCCCCCCCGCCGAGTCGTTGTCGCCCGAGGAGCCCGGGAGCCCCGGGGGCTGGCGGAGCGGCCGGCGCAGGTTGAGCGGCGGCAGCGGCAGCGGCAGCAGCGTGGGCAGCCCGAGTTGGCCGGGCCGCCCGCGAGGGGACGGGCAGCAGGTGGTGACCGCCGGTTCCCTCTCCCCTCCGGGGCCAGAGGAGGCCCAGAGGAAGCTGCGAATCCTGCAGCGCGAGTTGCAGAATGTGCAGGTGAACCAGAAAGTGGGCATGTTCGAGGCGCACATCCAGGCGCAGAGCTCCGCCGTCCAAGCGCCCCGCAGCCCGCGTCTGGGCAGGGCTCGCTCGCCCTCCCCCTGCCCCCTCCGCAGCAGCAGTCAGCCCCCAGGGAGAGCCCTGGCTCAGAGCGAGGAACGGAGGACAAAGTCGTGGGGGGAGCAATGTCCAGAGACTGCAGAGGCCGGTTTTTCGGCCCGGAGAGTAAGGGCGCCGGGCCTGTGCCTCTCCGAGGGCGACGAGGGGGTGGCACATCTCCCCCGCCCGGTCGCCCCGTCAGGACCAGGGGCTCAGGGTGCAGCGGTTTCTGCAAGAATGGAGAAAGGGACCCCGGCCAGACCCCACTGTGGCTCACTCGGAGCTATGGAAATTGACAAGAAAGTCTCTCCGCCTTTAGGGACGCGCAGCTGCCAAGCTCCCCCGTCCGGGCTGGCCAGCGTGAACTTAGGGATGGCCACAGAGGGGACAGCGAGAGCCACATCCAGTGGGCCACACCATCCACAAGACGCTGGCTTCATTGAGCGGCCTGAGCGGGCCAGCGAGCTCGGGGGTGTGCACCCCGGGGAATCCCTGGTGCAGAGTCAGGGGCAGTCTGTGGGCAGCCAGACAAGCCCAGCCCCAGAGAGGGGCAGGCCGCGCAGCGGAGAGCCCCCTGGGAAGGTGGGGAAAGGAGGTCCTCCCGGTGGTGCTCAGGGCCCCGGGGCACCTGAAGCCGGAAGGCCAGAGGACAGGACTGTGAACGCGCAAAGCTCGGAGCTTTCTGAGGCCCCGAGCTGGGTCAGGCCACCCCAAGACCTGGGCTCTGTAGGCCCTGAGGTGACCCAGGGTGGGGCCCCAGTGATCAGGGAGCCTCCACAGCACTGCAGGGGAGTGGATGAAGGGTCTCCAACAGCGTGGGGCTTGCTTGGGGGCAACCGCTCTGCCCAGCCAGGGACCCAGGAGGTGGACGCAGGAATTCCCTCTGGCCGAATACTGGAGCTTTTGCCCTCCTGGAAAGCCGCGAAAGATTTGAAAGAACTTCCGTGCCTTCCTGGGAACAGGCTGGGGGTGCAGCCTGGGAGCTCCGGGCCTTGGCTGGGCCCCATGGAGGCAGCCCAGCTGGCTTGGACGTGTGGCACAGGGGTGCAGTCGGAGGGTGCTTGGGGAAGCCCCCAGCAGGACAGAGCTACCCACCCCAGCCCGGAGCTGGATGGGAAGGACAAGCCTTCCCGGAGAGAGGCCTGCAGCCCCAGCAGTATACCCGCGGTCATCATCACAGACATGGGTGCCCAGGAGGACGGGACCTTGGAGGAGGTACAGGGAAGCCCCCGGGGTAGCCTGCCCTTGAGGAAACTGTCATCTTCATCTGCCTCCTCCACGGGCTTCTCCTCCTCCTATGAAGACTCAGAGGAGGACATCTCCAGTGACCCTGAGCGCTGCCTGGACCCCAACTCCGCCTTCCTGCATACCCTGGACCAGCAGAAGCCCAGAGTGGTAAGTCACATTCTGAGATTGTCCTTCGACTCCTTTGCACGCCCCTGTTCTTACTTTGTACTGAGTCATGAAGACTCCGATCAGGGCCCTGGGGCGGTCACAACTTAGGATCGTCTCCAGGTGTGTGCTGGGGAGGTGGCTGGGCACTTTGTAGCGGGGACAGTAAATCCAGTCACTTCGCTTACCACTTCCATGAACATCTTAAAAAACAATATTTAAGGTAATTTTCTGGCAGGTCACGGCTCCCTTCTCGGGGAGACAATATTCGTGAGTATTACCAGAAACTCCCTGATGAATCCCAGAAGATAATGAACAGAGCTGCTGAGTATAGCATTTGTCTGAACAGGTGAAGCACTTAATTCTGTGATACTTTTGGGCAGAGGAAGACTGACAAGGTCATGAAATTATCTCGGCTTCTACTCGTAGGCTGGGAAAATGAGCCGTGTGATTCTGTGTCGGGGCTCTGAAACCCGGGGCTGTGCTTGGGCCAGTGTTCTGGGTGAAGAACCACCTGGCCTTAGGTGGTTAAGTCAGGACAGTGCAGTATTTGTGGGATCCGTGTAACTTAGATACAGTTTGATGTAGGAATTAAAACAAAAACCATGCTTTGAGCTACCCAGACAATTTTTTAAAACAGCAGAATGTTATATTCGATTATATTGCCTGAGCTAGGCACTGGGTGATACCTCTAGGTTAGAGAGTTCCTAATGCATATGCTTGCTGGCTGGTGTAGGTACATTTCAGGTATGTTTTCAGGTACACTTGTTTTGTTTTAAGATTATTTATTTATTTATTTGAGAGAGCGAGCATAAGCAGGGGGAAGGAGCAGAGGGAGAGGGAGAAACAGATTCCCCGTTGAGTGGGAGCACCATGTGGGGCTCGATCCAGGACCCCACAATCAGGACCCTGAGCCGAAGGCAGACACTTCACTTTCTGAGCCCCCCAGGGGCCCCTCAAGCGCCATTGTTTTGATTCACCCTACTAACATCTTTTTCTAGCCATGGCAGAAGACCGTTTATTTCTGTTACATAGTCTCAGTCCCAGGCTGTTTTCGCTCTTAGGAGGATCAGAGTGTCTTAACGGAAGACGTTAAGAGTTGAAGCTAGCACTTCTGAAAAGGTCTGGACTTTCTCTTACTTTTCCAGGGTATGGGGGAATTTCCTAGTTTAGTGTGCAAGGGGAGGGGTTCTGGTGCTACGCTGGGGGAAGGTCTGCGTTTTATTGTAGTAGGAAGCCTTCTGACTGCATCTTGAGTATCAAATACTATTCATCCTATGGCAATAACTCTAACCAAAGCTGCTCAGAACCTTATATTTCTACTTTGCATCCTTCTCGAAGGTATTTTGGACCTCAAACCCCTTCGCTCTTGGACTTCCACTTAAGTAATCACAGTCTGAATTTTTGAAGACCAGGCATTCCTTTTCACGAGACACTTTCTCTGATGATGGGGAAGCAAATGTGTATGCAGAATTTGGCCCCGATTAGCCTGGCATTTTGTGGCGGGACAGGGCTGTGGGCACAGACACACCGGCTTGGTGGGGAGGAACGGTGCACCTGGGAAGGGATGGACACACTTCTCGATGTAGGCGCTCACATTTCTCTGACTTCGTGCCCACAATTACAGGCCTGGTGGAGAGGGTGGTCCTTGGTTCCACTCTTCCCATTTGCTTTCAAAACCCTGACCCGTCGCTGGCACAGCCAGGTCGCTTTAACTTGTTCTCCAGTTTTCCATTCGGCCTGTCTAGTGGCGGATTAGCAGCTCCTGTTGGCTGTCTCTCAAAACAGCTTCTTTGTCCCTTTGAGAAGGGCTGTTGTCTGGAAGTCAGCTGAAGGGGAGATCAATAAGGACAGGTGCTAATTTTTTTTTTCATTTGCCAGAGAGATGCCAACTGAGAGGCCAGATGGTTGAGTGGTGTTCTGTGAGCTAACAGGTCCACAGGTAGAAATGAGGCCTGTCGGGTGCCTGGGGGGCTCAGTCCGTGAAGCCTCCAGCTCTTGGATCTCAGCTCAGGTCCTGATCTCAGGGTCTTGAGTTCAAGCCCCATGTTTAAAAATAAATGAAAATAAACAAATGAGGCCTGCCTGTTGTCCACCCACCCTCCCACCTTTACACAGGTTTTCAGACACCCACAGAGGAGAGCCAGGGAAAAATCCCCTGCCAGCTTGGCTTTGAGTCACGTGAGGCCTAGGCGGGGCCTGTGTGGGGGGAAGGGTGGGTAACCAACTGGAAATGATGGGAACCTAGGGACTTTTCAGCTGTTGGTTGAGTGCTTGCATGATAAGCTAAGTTTTCTTTTTGTTGTACAGATTGTTATGGTGGAGCCTTATCTGTGAAACCAAACATCTGCTCATTGGGTCAAAAATCCCTTGATTACCTGATATTGATATTTTGTCTATGGAAGGCCAGACATCTTGATTGACCCGGCCTTTTGGCTGGGCTCCTCAGTGCTTTGTAGATAAGCCTGCTGCTTCTGTCTGTGGGGCTGCACTGAGCTGCGGGTGCATACGCCCACAGCCATTCACGCTCACGTGTGCTCACACTCACACACTCCCTCACAGCGCTCACACACACCCCACTCCTGTTCACACTCACACGTGCTCACACACCCTTACATGTGCTCACACACACACCCACAGCCATTCACCCTGACGTGCTAACACTCACACCCTACACGTGCTCTCACACACACACCCTCACCCGTTCGCGCTGTGTTTACACACCCTCACCTGTTCACACTCACACAACTCTCACCGTTCATGCTCATACGTGCTCACTCACACCCCCACCCGTCACACACCCTCACCCATTCATGTTCCCATGTGCTCACACTCACACACCCTCACCTGTTCACGCTCATATGTGATCACACACACCCCCTCACCCATTCACATTCACACGTGCTTACACTCACACCCTCACCCATTCACGCCTACATGTGCTCATACTCACACCCTCACCCATTCATGCTCACACTCACACCCTCACCCATTTACACTCACACATGCTCACATCCACACTCACATTCACACATGTTGGCACTCACACGCTCACGTTCATCCTTGGCCTCACATATTCATGCTCACACGTATGGGTTCACAAGCCTCACATGCTTAGGCACACTCATGCTCACACACCCTCACATTCATGCTCATACATGATCACACTCACACTCATTCACCCTTATGTGTTCGCACTCACAGTGCACTCAGGTGCTCACACTCATACACACTCACCCTCACACATGCTCACACACCCACTCACACCCACAGGTTTGAAATTGCATGTTCAGCCTCCCAGTCTTGCAACTAGTCCCTGGCCCTCAGCCCCACACTGAGAATTTTTTTTTTTTTTTGCTGCCCTGTCTTTCCCCAGAGGGGAGGCCTTTTATGCCTTGTGCAGCTTGTTCTTTCCTTCTGCGGAGAAGTGACTGTGGGTGATGCTGTGCGGGCGGAGGCGACAGCCCAGGGAAGCCTGAAGCTGGCTGCTTTGTTCGCTCTCCCGCTGTTGGGTCCCCCTGCTGCTTATCACTGGTGGAAGCCCCACAGCCCGTGTACCGGAATCTAGAAGCCCTCTCTGTGGTTAAAAATAAAGTGAAAAGCAAATTGTTCGGGAGTGCACTCTGAAAATCACTTAGCCATTTAGATGATGCAAATTAGCCGTGGCCCTTTTACTGGAAGGGAATGTGGTCGGAAGGCTGATCTCCCCACTTGCTTCCATGGGCAGGAGCTGTGCAGACAGCCTCAGATACTTGCACCGTGCCTCCAGTTTTCTGCTCCTGATGAGCCCCACCCACAGGCCTGTCCCTGAAGTCGAGTACTCCAAGGCTTCACACCTGTCTGTTTATAAAGGCTCAGATACGAGACATTCGCTCAGAAGCAATTGTATTGCACGCCTTATGTCCGGGGCTTAAATTTAGGCACCTTCACACTTACTGTTCTCTGTGGTCTGAACAGAAGCGAACTGCACTTGAGCAAGGATGGTGCTCTTGCTTGTTGTTCTTTAAGACAACTAAAAATCCCATTAGTACTTCTTGCCTTCCCTCTATCATTCCATTAGAAGTATGTGGGCCATGGAAACACCAGGTTTAAAGGGTATGTTAAAATATGCATGCACCTTACTTTAGAAGGTAGATTTTATTGATTTATTCCAAAATTGTGTTATCGATTATGTGTACAGAAAATAAGACAGAACACTGGCCTGGTTACCTGGGGGATCCGTAAAGAAGTATCCTAAAAATTCTTGCCTTCTTGGTACTTAAGGGCCCTTGGAATTTTGTTTCCTTTGCTTTTTAAAAAAAATATTGACTAGTTCTGTGTTTGTTTGTTTTGGTGTGTGTGTGTGTATGTGTGAAAAACTAACTCACACATGTAGTAAAAAATTCAAACAGTTTAAAATGGTTTTACGTGGGGGCCTGGCTGGCTCAGTCAGTGGAGCATGTGACTCTTGATCTCAGGGTTATGAATTCGAGCCAGATGTTGGGTGTGGAGCCTACTTAAAAAGAATATTTAAAAAAGGTTAAAATGGTTTTATGTGGTTTTGAGAAGTCTAACACTTTTATTTTGGGTAAACCAAATTAAAATATAAAAGCCTTAGAGGGGTATTTACCAAAAAATAAATCTAATGGTGAGAACCTTTAAATAGAACATTCTTTTCTGGATAAGAATATCAAAGGCTCGGATTTGTGGGGTTTGGGGTTCAGGTTGTACATGCTGTTTGCTTGAGATGGGGCACACTTCTTTTCTCTCGGGTCCGTGGGGGAGGATCTTTCCGACAAGGCCTCGGCACATTTGCGATCTGGGAGGACCCCGTGTCGTCTGTGTGAGGTTCAGGCATTAGTTACTCTGCTCTGTTTAGGGATAAAGAAACCAAGACTCAGGGAGACAAAGAGACCCAAGGACGATCTCTGTGACTCAGTTTTCTCCTTTTAAAATGTGCGTATTTTGTGAAGATGATCTCCTGGAGGTCTATCTAGTTCTGGCTCTGTGGCTGTATAATTCTA